GTGGGTGGCTCAGTCATTAAGCGTCTGCCTTCGGCTCAGGTCATGATCCCAGGGTCCTGGGATCGAGTCCCACATCGGGCTTTCCTGCTCAGCAGGAGTCTGCCTCTCCCTCTCGTGCTTTCTCTCTCTCTCTCTCTCTGTCTTACCTCTCTACCTCTCTCTCTCCAATAAATAAATAAAATATTTAAAATAAATACATACATACATATATACCTTCTTTTTTTTTTTTGCCCCGCACCCTGAGCCCCTACTCCTCTGCTTCTCTCTTTGCCCCACTACTTGCACTAGTGCTCTACCAACTACTCATAAAACAAAAAACCCGTAAATGAATCTACGGCATGCAAAACCCCCATAGCACCCCTACTTTTAGTAACAAAGAAGTCTGCCAAAACCACTCAGACGGCATTCCTTCCCTCTGACTCCTCCAAAAGAGAAGAAGATCGATCATCAAAGACAAAGGGCAGCTGCAAAAGCAACACCCAGAGCCAACTTCACTCTCAGGAATGGATACTACGCCTCCTCCTCGTGGTTTCGGGTACTCTACACGCTCAGAGAAACCTCTCTAGTAACAAACTATAGAAATGATCCCTGAAAGTATAGTCTAAAAGGGAAAACTCCAGGCCCAAGTGGTTTCACTGGTGAATTCTGTTGAACATTTAATGGAGAAATAACACCAATTCCTCATAATCTCTTCAGAAAACAGAAAAGTGGAATCACTTCCCAACTCATTATATGAAGGCAATATTATCCTCTTATTGAAACCATATGAAAATAGTACAAGAATACACCTGAAACTCCTGTAACACTGTATATTAATTATACTGGTTAAAAATCACAAAAGTAGTACAAGAAAACTACAGTGTTTCTTAGGAACATAGATGCAAACCAGATCCAGCAATATATAAAAAAATAATAAATTACACCAGGTAGTTTATCCTGGGAATGCAAGATTGCTTCAGCATTTGGTAATTAATCAATATAATGATAGTGGACCAAATTCATATTTATTAAAATGAAACTAAATGATCATATCCATAGATGTAGAAAAAGCATTTGACAAAATTCAACATCCATTTTATGATCAAAGCTCTCAGCAAACTAGAAACAGAAATAGAATCTCTACAAAAATCCTACAACCAGCTTCATATTTAAAGATGGAAAACTGGGGGCACCTGGGTGGTACAGTCAGTTAAGCATCTCACTCTTAGTTTCCACTCAGGTCATGATCTCAGGGTCGTGGGATCAAGCCCCACGTCAGGCTCAGCACGGAGTCTGCTTAAGATTCTCTCTCCCTCTTCTCTTCCCACCCCCTGCGTTCTTGCTCTCTCTCTCAAATAAATAAATCTTTAGGAGGAAAAAGATGGAAAACTGAGTGCTTTCTTGTAAGAAGAGAACTAGGTGAGAATGTCTACTCTCACCAGTCCTGTAGTCCCTGTTACACTGTAAGTCCTAGCAAATGCATTAAGAATAGAAAAAGAGGGGCGCCTGGGTGGCTCAGTTGGTTAAGCAACTGCCTTCGGCTCAGGTCATGATCCTGGAGTCCTGGGATCGAGTCCCGCATCGGGCTCCCTG